AGTTAAGATATATTATAACAAACTTTTGAGACTTTCACTGTCTTTTGAGTTTTTTGGAATAAACTTTTGGAGTTTCACATTGTTGTTACACACTCAGATAAGACCGAGACTCAAAGTTACTGGTTTATAGAATGAAAGGATTTCTGACTAGCTGCCTTGTTGAGTTTCTTATCACTTCTTAATTTTATTCGGATACCTAGCGATGTTGTTCCTTGGATACTGATGTATCGTTCATCTCGCCTTGGAACTTCTGTTAGTTTCTCTCTATTTAAGTGGCTTTTATTTTGCTTTCTCACGTTTGCCTTTTTGGCAGCGTAATAAACATAAACATAAACATATAAGTAATGCACACCGATAGGACACCCGCACCGAGAACACAGGGGCAAGGATTAGGGCAGCACGAAACCAATCCACCGAAGCTCCCTACCATTCCCATCCCGAATTTCGATGGAAAAATATGGGAATATGACAACTTTTGGACGCTCTTTCAAGATAATGTTCCATAACCAAAACTCGCTCACCAATTTACAAAAATTTAACTATTTGTTGAGTGCGCTCCGGGAGAAGCTCGTGAACTAATAAAGCGATACCCAGTCACAGACGACAATTATATGTTGGCAATTGATCTCATAAAAAAGAAGTATGGCAACAAGGCGGAACTCGTGAGGGTACTGCAGAAACGCCTGGACAACGCGAAAGCAGACAAACCCTCGACCCAAGGGCAAAGGAAGCTACTGGAATATATCATTCCCCTGGTTATGCAGCTACACAAATTAGAAGTGAATCTGGACGGCTCGTACAACACCCAAAAAGTGTTGTCCAAGTTTACACCTAGAATCCAACGCAAGATCCTTGAGGACTAACGACCCAAGATATGTCGGAAAATGCATGGAAAATGCAACGCATCGTTGACGCACTGGACGCACAAATAGCAACGGAGGAGCGCATCAACAGCATGGTGAGTAGTGACATCAACAGGGATACAGAACGCTGTAATGATTTCAAGAAGGGAAGCCAGGGAAAAACATCACACAACCAAAATTGCACATTTTGTGGGTCAATAGAACACAGAACTGCAAGCTGTTCACGTTACAGCACCATCACGGAAAGACGCAATTTTCTACAAGAACACGGCATGTGCCTGAATTGTGGGCGCGAAGGTCATTTCGCATCAAACTGCACAAAAGAGGGATGTAGAAACTGTCAAGGGAAGAAACATTTTCACGCATTATGTCCTCGGAGGCAAACGAATGTAACCCAACGAAACAGTTCACGCCAAGAACGCCAACAAAACCGGTAGGGGCCAAAACACAACATGGGCCAACGCAGAGAAATAGTCAAAATTCTCAAAACAAACACAAGCGCACCCGATCCAAATTGGTACCACAAGCCAAGAGGAACAAGACACAATCAAGGCATGGGCGGACAATAATCCTGACATTTCTGTATCACAGCCAAGGAACTCCAAGGGAAAATGTGCTCCTTCTAACCGGAGTAGCGCACATCTTCTTCTTCTTCTTCTTCACTTATCATATGTGCTTAAATATGTGAACTTGTCGCCAAGCGTACAGCAATGGTGATTGCGTACATTTTCCATTTTGGAATTTGTGGTGTTTGAGTGTAGGAAAGGTAATTTGCCAGAACTAATGTTGAGTCTTCCTCCTTGAAAAGATAAGCGCATGTCGCCATGGCACTTGCGTCTGCGAAGATTGCCAGGCCGCAATGATTGCCGTCATTCATGAATTTTCTCTCGAATGATTTTTCGAAGCCATGAACGTTGGAAGTGAGCGTTTGCCATTCTTTTTGCACTTGTGGTGGAAGTACTGTATCCCATGCGTATTTGTGCCTCCACAGGTCTTGTTGGAATCGTTTCAACTGGGTAAGTAAGGGTACCATCCACCCAAAGGGGTCATATATGGAGGCTATTTGTCGAGCCACTATGCGTTTTGTAAGAGTGGTTGTCTTTGGAATATCACAGCGGATAGAAAGTGTATCGTTTTCACTGTTCCATTTTATGCCGAGTACTTTCTGAGTCCTGGATTTGGCGCATGCGTCATCTGGCAACGCTGTAGTGATATCCGCACTGTTAGAGAGGAATTCCCGTAAGTTCATGCTCATATCGTTGATAATTTTTTAAGCGTTCACGGATTTGCTTATTGCGTCACCTTTTGTTTCGGTAGTCAACAAAAGGCTGTCCACATACAAATTTTTGCGAGTCTCATTTCCGAGTTGGGTGTCAGCTTCCATATTGCGTAAGTGGTATTGTATGGTGGCTCACAACAAGAATGGGGATACATTAAGCCCGAACGTTACTCTTGTAAAGCGGTACGTAATGACATTGTCTCCCTCGGGCTCCTTGTTGTAGTCCCGTACCCAGAAGAACCTTGTTACGTCTCTGTCCCGCTCGTGTAAACGGACTTGGAGGAATGCCTTTTCTACGTCCGAAGTAACCACGTACTTGGATACTCGAAAGCGTAGAAGTACTGCGTAAAGCTCGGGGAGAATCAAAGGTCCCTGGTGAAGAACGTCATTGAGAGACGGGCGATCTTTGTAGTGTGATGAAGCATCGAAAACTATGCGCAGCTTGGTAGTCTCTTTGTTCGGTGTGATTACCGGTTGGTGTGGGATATAATGAGTGATGCTCGCTTCCTCATAGTCATCTTTTGGGATTTCTTCTATAATTTCCTTCTCCAGTTGGGTTTTGAAGGTGTTGTCATAATCAGCTAAATTTCGAGGTTGTGACTTAAGCATTGTTATGACACTGTTGAGGCGTTTGAGCGCGATAGCTTTATTGGTTGGAAGTGGGGGATGGTTATCTTTGAAGGGTAAGCGAACGTAGTACCCGTCACTTCTTTTCTCAATTGTCTCATCGAAAAACTTGGAGACCCTTTCGTTGATTGCCGTTTTTTCGGCGTCCTTTGTGCCTGTAAACTCACATATCCCTGCTGAATCCATTGTCCAATATTTGTCCCAGCGTTGTAGATCTCTTTCTTCTTCGGTTAGCGTTTTGATCATTGTAATCATGCTGGGTTGAGTGTTAAGGCTGTGCGTTGCGTGAAGTTCATTCAGTTGTTGTTTCCCCGTGAGAAGGTATCCCAGCTTTGATGGTATAAGTCTCAAGCCTGATGGAAGCGTATAGTGCGGTGAGGAAACTTCTAACAAGTCCCATAGCTGATCACAGCCCAAAAGAATTTGTGGTTTTTGTCGTACAGGCCATGATGTTGGAAAGGAGAATACCTCTTTGCGTTATGAAGTCGATGTCTTCTTGCCCGAGCTGTGTGATTTGTCCTTTTTCGGTTAAGATTGGCGTTGAATACAGTCGCATTTTGTGCACTTCTCCCTGGTTGTCCCACAATTCTATGGAGGTCACCGCGCATTTTGCGATTTTTGGATTGTTTGCCCCGAAAGTATACATTTCTAAGTTGTGGAATTCCCCACACTCAAGTCCTAAGTCTTCCGTTAATCTCTGGCTTATAAAGGACTGATCTGCGCCTGTGTCAAAAAGTATTTCAACCGATTGTAATTCTTGACGTTTTGTATTCCATATGTGCGCTACTCCGGTTGCTCGCCTTGGCGTGATGGAGATGAAGATGTTGCGCTGGACGGCGGGCGTCACGCGATCGGACCGCATCTGTAATGATGTCATGCGTAAGAAGTATGGTGTAGCCCCCATAACGGAGAAAATGCGTGAAACGCGCCTTCGATGGTATGGGCACGTACTTCGCGCAAAGGCTGATACCGTCCGGAAAACTGCTCTCGAACTCGAGGTACCAGGAAAGCGGCCAAAGGGACGTCCCAAACAGCGCTGGCTCGACACGTTGCATACCGACTTGAAAATAGCCGGCATCCACCCTGATCAGGCATCCAATCGGGAAAAGTGGCGTAGTTGTATCAAAACCCGCGATCAAGCGGGACAAACGCTGAAGAAGAAGAAGAAGAAGAAGAAG